AGGACCACTCTCACCAGTTCACCAATCATCCGACAACGTTAGAACCCAGGTCGGGCCACTTCGATCCTGGTACTAATTTTCAACTTGTAGGAGTGGACAAGTTAATCTGCGTTATGCGGAAGACGTTTGACACAGTCAGCTCCATCAGCCGCTTGTTTTCCCATTTAATCTTTAACACGAGGAGCTATGGAGATTCGACAAATACACTCCTCTTTACAGCCTATTTACCGGTCATCGACGTGGGATTGTTTGAATTATTGTACATACGGCAAAAGAGAGAGCCGCTGTAGTAAATGCGCGGTAGCTTCACAATGAGAAATAAGTACCTATCAATCTTAAAAGTTCCTATACAGTGCCACAGTGTGCGCGTCTTCGAAGCATTGATCATCGCTGTCTCCGGAGTGCCGCAGCAGTATGCCGACCATAGCGACTGCACGGCGGTGGGGTGCACAGACGAGCGTTATGCGGTGTCTGGGTAAATCACTCAGTGAAACCTCATAGGTCACCACCTATCAGGCGCTCGCGCTCACTGCTTGCTGGTGAAAATCCTGCTTTCTTTTCCTTACCTAGTCTGGAATGGACAGTCTTTGACGATTTAACAAGAAACGGGATAAGCCCTCTCCTTCTAGGTTCGGGAACCTACACTACTTTCTCTGTGTTTAGCTCGAGACTTCATTGGACATGACTTGTAATCGGTACCAGTAGTGCGTTTGTTGTCATCTCCTAGTCGGACTAATCGCTTAAGGTGTGTATGGTACTGAGTTATATTTGCAGTTGTGCCCCATGCTGAGGCTGATGTTGCATTCATGATGCTTCTTCACCGCAGTTGGGCTAAACCAACTTACACTAGGTCTTTTTAAGCCGGATAAATTTCATTCCACTTTATTTGCTTGGTTCTGCCTACCTGAATAATCTTCTATTAACTAGACACGTTGCTTACGCTAATTGTGGTTATCGTTAACTTTATTGTGTTGGTAGTATTTTTTGAGTAACTTGTGGACATTTTGTACTTATCGTGGATTCGTTGACAACCCACTTAATTCATATGCTAATTTATCGAGGACATATGTCGGCATAGCCGTATTCTGTAGCTGCTATATTTTATTTGATAATGTCATTTCAAGTGGTTGGCTGTTGTTTGACATCCCCGGAATGGCTGCGCTGAATGTGCATGTTGACAAGGTGCCTACCTGTCTATTACCCACTACGTCGTCCATACTGGCTCTAGGAGACACTTGGTCGTTGCTGGACGGGACAGGGTGCAAGTCCTTGTGGTCGTGCTAAACTCGAAGTGGTTCCATGCACTGAGTCTGGAGCGGACTACGGACCAGCCACCGCCTTGTGTTCGCTTGATTCCCCAACTACAGCCTGCTTTTGTTTGCCTGTGAAGGAGTGGGCCAGCTCCGTTGATGAAACGCGGCTCCGATCCACATGCCTCCCGGTCTTATTCCTTCGAGTTTACACTGGATATGGGGTATGTGGTTGGAGCTGTGGGTGGTGCAACGCAAGCCACCCATGGTGCTTCTGTAGGCGCAGGCGTCCTGTGGCTTGCCACAGTGACAGGTAAATCCGAAACCGGATGCCGCCAACCATATATATTTACAGTTAGGCGGATTGTAGTGCTAGGTCATGAATGCTCACTGATGCTGTATCGCGGTTGCCACTTATCGTCGCACGACATGCACATGTTACCGACTGATTTTGGTTATTTACCTCTCACATTCTACGCCTGGCTCTCCTTACTTCATCCTATGATTTGTCGCTGGTGCAGCAGCTCGCCAGTACAAAGTACTGCTTGCTGTTGACGAGAAACATATCAATGGGCCTCCCCTTAAAGTATTTGGGAGATGTGATTCTACTGTGCATAGGAAATGTTCGTTTCGAATTTGAGGGAACGTTATACAAACAGATCGACGGAGTCGCGATGGACAGCCTTCTGGAAGCGTTTTTCACACATATCTTTCTCTGTTTGATCGATCGACAAGTTGCCACCACCATTGGTGAGGCGAATTTGAACAAACCGTATGTGGACGGCATTCCGGTATACACCAGCAGAGAACATGTTAACCACTCTGAATTTAATTCACCCCAACTTAACGGTATCCTATGACATGGAACCATACGGCAGCCCGCCATTTTTGGATATCTTCCTTAAGCGGCAAAACGGAGGTATACTGCAGCGCACCATTTACCGCAAGGTGACTTGGAGTAGGCAGTACCTTCACTTTTCCAGCTTCGCTCCGATTGCATACAAGCGTGGCGTAGTGTTAAAACGCTCTTCTGCTGAGTCATACGAATTCACAGCCCGGAGATGTGAGAAGCTGGAGAACAGTTTTTGCAGTGTGCTTTAATGTCGGATGGATACCCTGAAAAATTCATCCATATCCATGGCAGACTCCCTAAGAGAAAACTGCCGGTGCCCACGGCAGAGAAAAAATAGCTGTTTTTTGCTTCTGCACTAACGCGCACCCACACGACTACCCAGTTTCGTCTTTTGCGCACTACCCGAGAACTTGTTCTCCTCGACTGTCAGAGCGGCTCCTCGGCTAGCTCGGTCTCACGTGATTTACCAGTTCACCTGCAGTTGCGATGACACTTACATAGGCAGAACTGACCGTCATTTAGCTCAGATAGTGGCTGAACACTTGCCGAAGTGCGTGGGACAAACGATGAAGCAGCAAAACGGGGTGCCCCTTATAAAGAACCGGAACCCGTCATCATCAATCACCAAGCCCCTCATGACGACTCGCCACCATGTGAACCCGGAGACCGTGCTCAAGGTGCTACTAAGCAACTGGAACCCGAGCACGTTGGCGGTCAGTGAAGCGTTGCTAATTAGGATACATCGACCCGTTACGTGCACAGGAACTCTTAAGGCGATTAATTAGGTTGCCTTGGTCTTAATTGGGACATGTTGATGGGTGTTGCCAACCGCTTCACGTATAATTCAGTGTATCTATTCCTCTTGTATTGTGTTTCGACTGATGAATATTGAATACTGTATTTTGGGAGCAAGGAGAATTTTCAACCTATACAACTCCATCGCAGTATGAGTAAAAATGTAATAAAGCTATCTGCCACCCGTAATAATCCAATCTTTCTTCAAGTCCTTATGTAGCACTTAAAAATGTCTGACTTACAGTGTCACCGAGCTCACAAACCTAAGATGTCATTACTAGTGTACAAGCGTTCTCTGAATCGAGTGGTGGTGAACTGTAAACGCAACAACGTTTTGTACTGCTGCACAGCTTTAGCCTCTACGACTTGTTCTGGCAGACTTTTCCAAACATTTAACACCCTCACTTCGAAGCACAGGGAGTGGAGTAATCGTTTTATACCCGGCATCACAACCTTGTACTGGCGTCCGCGAATACTGCATGCCATTCGCAAGTGAAGCAGGGACCTGAACATGGGGACGTCACCGAGATGTAAAATTCCGTAGGTCATGATGATCGACTCGCACTCGACGATAGGACAAAGTGTAGAGTCCTAGTTTCTCGCACCGGTCTTCCTACGGTAATCCTCGTAAACTTGGAATGAACCTGGTTGCGACGTGTTGGACCTGTTCTCGTGTGGTTGGACTGTAGACACGTGATCTGTACTCGAGTATTGGTCTTATGATGGAAGAAAAGAGGCGAGTGGTGACTTCTTCGCTCCAACTACTGAAGCTGCGTTTGAGCGCCCAAAGCATGCGCAGTCCGTTACGATATAGCCTGTTCGTGTTGTCAACGGACTTCAAATCGCAGCGCGAGTGCACCTATGTCCTTCACGGAAGGTGTGGTATGTAGCGGTTGGCCGTCATTGGTGTAAGTTCGACCGTCACTACCCTTCCTTAGGCTCCTGAATACCTACTTGCTTGGGTTGACTGGGAGGCGGACTTCCGCGGACCACATGGAGAGGCAGATGAGGTCTTGCTGAACTAGGTCGCAGTCGTCAGGAGTATCAATCAATTTCCAATTCTTTAAATTGTCCGCAAACAGGGCACAAGTCGACCGAAGCATTTTAGGTTAATCGTTGATGTGGATTAGGAAAAGACTTGGCCCCAGTACTGTGTGTTCGGGTACGGCACTTGTAGAGAGATACCAGTCAGTTGGGTGGCCGTTGACGTGTACCCTCCACTTTCGTCCAACAAGAAAGTCCTAGATCCACTGGTGCAGTGATTCACCAACGCCGCACACCCACAGCTTGTGGAAAAGGACCACATGATTTACCTTGTCAAACGTTGACAGATTTCCCCATGTTTACTGCTTGCAACCATCCACGCCTGGTCACCAGCAGGTTGATAATGCAAGAGCGGCCTTGCAATCGAAATGTTGACATATCTCAATCTGTCTCTCTGCTCTAATGTGGTGACTGAAAGGGAACAAATGTTTCCCATTATTAAGCAATCAGTAAGTCGCTGCTGTCGGCGTTGCCTATCACTTTGTATACGTAGCATCTTCGCTCTTCTGTCGAGCACGTGGATATTATGCACTAATCTTCTGGCATAGCGTCCATCTGCCTTGGTTACTTCTTTCCCTTAGTGTTCATCATGGTTATGAGAATTGTCGCTGGTTATTTTGCTCTCAAGCTTGTTTCTATGGTTGCATCCGTTTCGTCCTTCAACCGAGTAGCGTACTCAGCGCGAATTCTTGCGAAGTCTTACTTGTTTGCCATATTATGTACAAAATTCCGATGACTACCTTACATTGTCTACTTGTGTAACGTTTGCCATCAAATAAAGCGGCTTAGAGCACAACTCGTCGCTATTGCTGTCTTCGACTGCGATGTTGCACGCCTTCATCTCATCAATGCGTCTATGTCTTACCTTTTGCCTCATTCTGTTTTCTTTGACCGAACCCACTTTGCTGCTGTGTGCCACGTTCCCACCACTGTTCATTCCAATGTTAAGCTAGTAGACCCTCTACTTTTTACAAACTGAAAATAATTACTGTTTCGCATTTTTTCACTGGCCATACATACCATGCAATTGTTTCTCAAATGCCTATTCGGTTTTGCAGGAAATTAGATTTTCCCTGCGGTGAAAGTCCACCTTTATCTACGGGACCACAAATTCCGGTTTCTGCGGGCTCTCATGTTCGTGACATCAGTGTTGGCAAAAGGAAGACCGGGCTGACTCGACAGCATTCGGTTCGGTGCAGAAATCCTCGAGGTCAAACGAAGTCGGAAAACTTTGGTGTTAAGCTTTTGGACAAAGTGCCCATCAAAGCGAAAGCGTCTCTGTCTGGGACGATGGAGGTTAGCACTAACGAATCCGAGACGGAGACATTAACTGCTTCAACGCCCCTTGATCCCGAAGTAAATCCATTTGATTTGTTGCAATGGAAGAGGCAGTCTACTCCGGTTGGTTTGCTCCAACTCAGTCGTGGGCCCATCGATATTCGACGGAATGATTCGCAGCTTGTTTCACCAGCGCACGATGATCCACTAAACTGTTCTGAATCCGTTGTTGAAAGCTACGAGACTTTGGGGGACTCTTCGAGCACCACTATTCCACATCAGGAAACGCACCTCAATAGGTTGGAGCACTTGAAACCGATAAGAGGTAAAACCGATGATCATACTGCCAAACACGCACTTTCCGATAACGATCCTTCTGCGGAACCAAATCATTGCGCTCCTTGTTTAACAGAGTACTCTGACAAGTGGACTCCCTTGACCCAGCCCTCATCATCGCATCAGACTAGGAAGACACCACCACCTGGAGGCGACTTGCACTTGTTGATTGATGAATTGCGCATCACATTCTCTATGGCTCGCTTGCTCGTTCGACTGATGGAACAGGTGGTGTTGCCGTCTAGTGGCAACACAACTGTTCACGCCCATGATCGTATTTCGCAGCCAGATCCGACTTCCTCTACTGTTCTTACTTCTGGATCCTGCCGCAACCAACAGATGTACTTCGAACGGTTGCACCCGTTCCAGTTCGGTGAGTTTGCTGTTTACCTTGAACTCTATTTCTTCCACGTGGGAAACCCGTCTGCGACAGACCGCATTTACTTTTGTCGTCCCCGATGGCACGCACTTCACATAATAATAATAATAATAATAATAATAATAATAATAATAATAATAATACGTATATTTCTCCTGCTGCGAAAACTGTATAGCGCCACCTATCATTTTGTACAAAAGTGTCCATACTTTTGCATGGGCCATATGCATGGTTGGAATTTTGGGGTATGCGATTCATTTAATTGCGTTCTGGTGGATGGTTGAGGCGAAAGCCTAGTTTTTGAAACATTCGTGTTTAGATGTTTATGGCCCCTCTTGGAACAGTCCATCGAAAGCTTTTCCCCATGTGAATATAGTGATTATAGTATTTAGATCAAGATAACTGGAGAGTATGCTTCTAGATGGTGCCACACTATCGCATGACTTGTGTGTGATTGGTAGTTTATTCAAAATTCCATATCTGACCAGGAAGAAATTGGAGCGGACGTTCGTACTAGCCTTCGGTATATTCAGTGTAAAACCTTTGTTGCGAAGCACTCGAGTTGAGAAATGTAAATTGAGAGTAGGCAGATCGGAATAGCTTTTTGTGTAGCGAGTTAGTATTCGAGCGTTGAGCGTGTGAGTAGCTTAAAAAGCTCATGGGTGCAGTGCATTTTGTTGGATATATTGAAAACAGATTATATGACATGTGCTATTTGGCATTGGGTCTGTTGGGGGAATTGTAGGAAGATGGGAACCTAATTCCGAGATCACGCTTGGACAGCTGTATACGGACGTATTCATTGTTTAATGCGATATATCCTTCTGGGAGGGAACACCCTTAAGACATGATGCTTGATTTCTTAGCCGACAGGTTCATCATCCACGTGTGACACCATGACTCAAGGGAATGTAAGTCAACTTGAATGAGCAGTAGTGTGCCGTAAAGCTCGTCACGCCGAAGCTTATTGACAATTTTGATATCGTTAGCAAATAAAAATGACCGACCATTTTTCACACATGGGTGATATCATTGATGTAGAGCGGAAACAGTGAACTACCGAGCACGCTGCCTTGGATGACCATACTTGTGACGTGGCGTGCAGAAGAGCGATGGTCATCTAAAGTGACTACCTGGTGTGGCGAAACATGAAACATGAGAACCGCTCTAACAGCGGTGTGCAAACGAACGCTGGGCCAGAGTGCGAATATAGGATTTGACGCGATGGCACGAGGAAGCCTTTTGGACGAACGTCGGGCTAGAGCGTGGGAAAGGGGACTGATTGAACGCCATTGTCAGGACTGCTTAGCAAGCACCGGAAGCGTGCGGTGAGATAAAGGTAGATGGACGCCCAACCCGCTGCCGGATCTCTGCAACGTTCTGTAACATATAAATACCGCTTGAGTTTTATTGTTAATAGAGTCTTGGTCGCCGCGCAGTCCGACTTCTATATTTCGATAGCCCATGACCACTCAGGTATGACGGTAGCCAACCTTGTAATGGGTCCCGATTCCCAAAGTCCGCCAACTTTTGTTACATCCGCTTGTGAGGTACTCGGTTGAATGCTTGGTGTAAGTCCAGGAAAAATTACTACAGCACAGTCGGAATCGATAGATTCTGAAATATAGTACAGGTAATGCAATTAGCAGGTGGTGCACGATCGCGTGTTGAGAAAACCATGCTGCGAGTTATTCATCAAACCCAAAGAGTTAACAAAGTTCATCACCTTTCCCACCATTTTTTCAAATATCCGAGCAATTATCGGAGTGTGATGGATTGGCCGGTAGTTATCAATCGTTTGTTTGGGATCTCCTTTTTACCGAGGCATGATAAATGGCGTCTTCCATTTATCTGGAAAGTGGCTAAATTCTAGCGACATGGTCAACATGCTCATCAGGCGCAGGGGTATATCATGCCCTCCTAACGGTGGTTGGTGAAATGCTATCAGGTCCCAGTTTGGAGCATGACCACCTGATTGACTTGATACCTTGGCGGATATTGTCGAGCTAGACATCGAGTCTGTCTAATAGGTTTTTCACTGTAAGCTCTGTGTACGCAGATACAAGATCAGTTTCGAGACTTGTGGAAGTGGCAAAGAAGTCGCTGACTGCTTCGCAGATTGCAGCTGGATCATAAAGTAAGCGACCTACACCGTTAACAATTTCGGTAATCAGAGGAGAGCGGTTACTGGCTCTATGATGCAACATTTTGACAAGCTCCCTGACCTTCTGCTTGTTCGTAGGGCTATAAGTTCTTCATTTTCCCGCCCCGTTAATTGTGCATGTTTTACTCTCGTGGTAAATCTGTGCATTTGTAAGCTAAGTGAAGAGTCATTGAGCTTTCTGTATCTTGCAGCTAATTGTCTGGCTGATTGAGTGTTACCGGCATCTTTGGAGACATGGGGAATACGATCACATTGCGAAGCAAGCGGAGCTATAGCGCGATAGATTTAGTTATAAAAATGCTCTACAGCAGTTTATACACTGATAGAGAGGAAGAATACATCGCAGTCAGAGAAACAGATTAACTGCTCAAAATATTTCCAGTTTATTTTATGGATTCCAGTCGCGGTGTAGACACGCGTTTAGTGACCATTTTGATGTGGAAACTAAGTCGGATCATTTTATGGTCGCTGCCTGGGAGACTGTAAGATCACAGTCTGTGTTTTGCGTATCCCCAATGTGAGTATTAAGTCCAGTACATTGGCGGACCTGGTTGAACTGGTAACCCGTTATGTCCAGCCCCATGCTCTGATGGACGAAAGAAAAGTGGTGTGCAAGTTTGACGTTGGGTGGGATGACCAGTGGATTTTTGCCAACTTGAAGTCATCGTCAATTATCTTCTGTCTGTGTTGCAACTCTGGTACAAAGTCAACCACAGAGCTGATGTTGATACGTCAGGCGCATTCGATGAATTTCAGGTAAAGGCGAACACTATGTTAGTGGAGGCATCTGCAACTGAGAGCCGAATGGATTCAGGAACATTTCCCAATTGTGAGTGGTCTGTACGTTCACAGCTGTACATGTTTTGTGTACGTATGTGATGCACATTCCACCTTTTCGGTCCCAGCGATCTTTTCGAAATAGATGATAGTTTGAAATCACCAGATTGGAGTCAAGTGTATCAGAAGAACATCATACTTCAGTGACGAGGATCGCTTGTGGGTCGTCGAATTGTGTGTTTACAAAATGAAGTTTATTGATTACTGATCTGGCAGTAAGTAGAATCACTGAAAACACACTATGTATTGGGAAATCAGCGCTGTCTCCTGAGTGTTTGGCTTCGAGCATAGTACACATGGTAGGTAAGTTCAAGATCGATAGGCCCGAGTTGACTAGTAGAACGTTTGTCGGTAGGGGCAGCATGTCACGTGTGAATGTCGAGACAGCTAGGGGCACAAAGGGAACAGAGGCGTCATGGTTAGACTGCCGTTGACTTGGCACTGAATTTGTCATCTGGACAAATTGGAGGAAGAGTGGGATCAAATTACTGGCCTCCGCCCTATGTATTTAAAGTGGGAATGGGTGTGAGTCCATTCCGCCACCGCTAAAAATGGGTTGCTGGAAAAAAATCGCGTGGGAAGTTGCAGGAACATGGAGCGAAGTAGGGGATAACATCGTCCTATTAGCCGATATCCTTCCGTTATCTTACGCCTCCAATGATTGTTGTAGAGCGTGTGCGTAGCCAAGAGACAGTTGTTACTGGTCTTATCCAACAGGGTAGGTTGTTTTCCCTGGTGGGTGTAGGAGACTGGTCGTTAGGGAACTTTGGGTGCAACCGGGTATTTCGTAGCTGTAAGCCTTTTGCAAACACTCGCCCCTGGATTGTTTAAGTTGCCCTTGGCGACAGCGGGCTACAGATTATATCAGGCTGTCTATTCTTGATCGTTGAGGCCTGATTGTGATATAGTCAACGAGTTGTCATTGCTTCACCATTCCAAGCACTTAGACTTTCTCTGAATCCTTATACATGAGAAGTTCAATTTAATGGGAGTACCGCTGTCCGGAATAGGAGAACCAGCTTTATCCGTTCGTCGCTCTGAAGGCGTTTCAATGGTGCAACGAAGGATGGCTTTGGTGCTAGCTGACAATACTGAGAAGTTATCGAGGTCTAAGTCGATGCACATTGGAAGCACTCATCTTTTAGACGTTTGCCTGAGATTTCTCCATGAGCCTATTCATTTTTCCGGCGTTCGTCGGACAGTGCCAATTGCGGACCTTTTTAGGGGTGTTCTATGTCGTTTAATCGAAATACAATTAAATTGGGTGCGCAAGGCTAGGATGGGTCCACAATAGAGGATTTGCTGCGCAGCTTCCTCGCTTAGAAGTTCGAAAATAATCGGGTAACAAGCTTTCGGCGTTTTCTTGTTCAAACATTGGCAATTGCAGCTGACATCAGACACGTTACAAGCTTTCAGTATCGTTACTTTCACTTTATCTAGACTCAACTTCTCCGTAACATTAAAAACAATCACATTTTTGCTCTGCACATTCGTTCGTATATTTCCTAGACAACAGGGGCAATTAGCTGTTCTGCTTTCCCTATCAGAACAGGATCAGTCTTTTTCAGTGGGCTACTGAAGAGGCTCAAAGAGTGCCAGCGATTTTTAATCTCACTGAGTTGTCATTCCAAAGAGAGCAGTTTATAATTTACTTCTGCAATAACATGCCTGTTAGCATGGGAACATATTCGCTTTTATTTTGGGACCTAGCATTTTATTGTTTTTCTGCTGGCGTGGAAAGTACACTACGCTTAGCCTGTCAAACACGGCGAGACTTCGGTGAGGCCATCGGGACTCTGACCCCAAGATGAACTCAATGCAAACAGGGTCCGATGGAATACGCACTGCTGACGATTCCCGAAAGAATGAAACGCGCGTACAGTGCTTTTCCGGGTGTGTGACGGCTGTCTGACTGAGTCTAGATGTGACGAATTTCTACCTATAACATTCAGTTCCCCCACTACTCCTGTAAAACAAAAGTTGTTATTTTTTGCAGTCGGATCTTTATGGGTCGGTTAGATTCCGCGGTTACGTTTGTCGATGCTAGCCACCGATATCAATGCTACGAACGTATCGAGACGCGCACCTGTGGTCCGGTCGTGAAGTTGAATCCTGCTGAATGGGACACAGAGACAGGGCTGCACGGTGGGTCACGGTAAATGCGGGCACATGCATTGACGGTGGACGTATCGATCGTTGCGAGTTGTGTTCAGAACTGGATGGCAATCGCGACGCGCACGGTTATGTTTATCGGTGGCAAATAGATCCACAGCTAGCAGTTGCAAAATGGAATGTAACTACCGCAAAGAAGGTCGGGTCGAGATAGTCTGCAGATTCTCGAATGGTAATGATGACGCTCTCTCGAATAAGAGTAAAGAGCCTAATGCTCATTCAAAAATGTGGGAACATTTACATGCAGGTTTTAGCCAATGTCCCCAAAATGATCGTAGAATTAGGTGATAAAGCAAAGAAATGAGTCCTGCACTTTTATGACTACCGAACGAAACCGATAAATTTGCGTCGAACGAGTGTCAGTCAGTGTGCGTGAGGATG